CCAGCCCCTAATAGAGGGCAAAACTTCAGTGTGGAGGTGCCAAGTCAGAGCCCAACACAAAGACAGCTGGAACCCAAGTTCATCGCTGAAGGGTAGTTGGGAAACTGGAGGTTTCTCTAGAGATTTTCAGGGTCACTGAAGTTTGTCACGCTGGAGAATATACAAAATTGCTGTTGGTTGTGGGTGGCTTAGGGGTTGAATGTCTGACACTTAGGAATGAATGTAATTCTCTCTGAATGCCTGCCGTGAACACAATTGTACAGTATTCAAAGAAACTGTTTTAAGGTAAAACTCACCACTTGCCTTCTGCACTAAATCCTTTTATTATTGTTCTGTCTAGATGGACGATACTGGATTTTTCCAGGTAATAAATATTAATCAAGAGGATGACTATGAGCCATTCTTGGAAACATTTCGGCGCTGCACTCTTTGTTATGGTAAGATCCATCTGTATTAGAGAAAAAACACTATTATTTAGTGCTGCCTGGCAAAAAGCATGAGAGAGACTGGCAAAAGCATTTAGACAGACATTTGTGTTTCAAATAACCACAGCTGAATTTTCTGGCTTTATTTCTTCTTCACAAGTTAATCCCTAAAAGGAGGGAACTTTCCAATAAGTAGCATGTCGATCATGATTTACAACCAACTGCTTATCTCCACTATCTGTGCTGCCAAGTTTTCCTTAGGAGGAAATGTACTCGAATGCATAAAAATTAGGGCTGTCGATTAATCGCTGTTAACTCACGTAATTAAACTCAAAAAAATTAATCGCGATTAATCACAACAATAGAATACCAATTGAAATTCATTAAATATTTTGGATGTTTTCTACATTTTTAAATATTTGATTTCAATTTACAATACAGAAGACGGTGTATAGTGCTCACTTTATATTATTATTACAAATATTTGCACTGTAAAAAATGATGAAATAGTATTTTTCAATTCACCTCATACAAGTACTATAGTGTAATCTCTATTGCAAAAGTACAACTTACAAAATGTAGATTTTTTTTGTTACATAACTGCACTCAAAAACAAAAATGTAAAAGGAGAGAATGCTGCCCTCTTCTTATTTACAATGTCACCTGAAAGTGAGAACAGATGTTCGCATGTCACTGTTGTAGCAAGGTATTTATGTGCCAGATATGCTAAACATTCGTATGCACTTTCATGCTTTGGCCACCATTTCAGAAGACATGCTTGCATACTGATGATATACCATACCATGCTGATGATGGGTTCTGCTCGATAACAATCCAAAGCAGTGCGGGCCAACGCATGTTCATTTTCCGTTATCTGAGTCAGATGCCACCAGCAGAAGGTTAATTTTCTTTTTTGGTGGTTCGAGTTCTGTAGTTTCCACATCCAAGTGTTGCTCTTTTAAGACATCTGAAAGCATGCTCCATACCTTGTTCCTCTCAGATTTTGGAAGGCACTTCAGATTCTTAACCTTGGGTCGAATGCTGTAGCTATCTTTAGAAATCTCACATTGGTACCTTCTTTGCGTTTTGTGAAATCTGCAGTGAAAGTGTTCTGAAAATGAACAACATGTGCTGGGTCATCATCCGAGACTATTACATGAAATATATAGCAGAATGTGGGTAAAACAGAGCAGGAGACATACAGTTCCCCCCTTCCCCCAAGAAATTCAGTCACAAATTTAAAAAAACCCAATTTGTTAATTAAACAAGCGTCATCAGCATGGAAGCATGTCCTCTGGAATGGTGGCCGAAGCATGAAGGGACATACGAATGTTTAGCATATCTGGCACGTAAATACCTTGCAACACCAGCTACAACAGTGCCATGAGAACGCATGTTCTCACTTTCAGTTGACATTGTAAATAAGAAGAGGGCAGCATTCTCTCCTGTAAATGTAAACAAACTTGTTTGTCTTAGCGATTGTCTGAACAAGAAGTAGGACTGAGTGGACTTGTAGGCTCTGAAGTTTTACATTTGTTTTTGAGTGCAGTTATGTAACCAAAAAAATTGTAGATTTCTAAGTTGCACTTTAATAACAAAGAGATTGCACTACAGTACTTGAATGAGGTAAACTGAAAAATACTATTTCATTTATCATTTTTACAGTGCAAATATTTGTAATCAACAATATACACTGATTTAAATTATAACACAAAATACAATATATATGAAAATGTAGAAAAACATCCACAATATTTAATAAATTTCAATTGATATTCTATTGTTTAACAGTGCGACCAAAAAAAAAAAATTAATCGCGATTAATCGCAGTTAAGTCAACCGTGTGAGTTAACTCTGATTAGCCCTTATTACTAGGGTGTTGATTAATCTTGTGAGGAGCGGATTATTTCACAGGATCAGTCCCTTAGCTTTCTGATTTTAATTATACATAACTTTCACAGATGTAGAAGATTGTTGTTAATACTTTAAGTTTAGGCTCTTTAATCCTCTCCGGAACTGACTGCTCAGATGCCGTTTCTTTTTTCACACTTTCAGTTTCTTAAAGAGAGAAGTACAAACTAATTTTCTGTTTATTTGCAGACAAATGTAAACCAGATGAGTTTTGTGAACGCCGCAGATTCCGATCACCACCGGCATATGTGGATGCTGCTTTCATTTTGGATAGTTCACAGAAAATGAGTGGTGCCGAATTTGAGAACGTGAAAAACTTCTTGAGCAGAGTACTTGATAACTTTGACATCTCCTCTGAGCCAGAGACCTCTTCCACAGGTGATAGGGTGGCTGTGGTGAGCCATGCTCCACCAGGTTTCAAACCCCGAATGGGGCGGAACCCTGTAAAGAAAGAATTTGACTTTGTCTCCTACAAGAAGAGACAGTCAATGAAAAGACATATCCAAGAATCTGTTCGACAGCTGAATGGAGCAGCTGCTCTTGGCCATGCCATACAGTGGACAATTGATAATGTTTTCTTAACTGCACCCCACTCCAGACAACACAAGGCTATCATTGTTATATCTGCTGGAGAAACAAGTCAGTGGGACAAAGACATATTAAAGAAGGCATCTCTGAAAGCCAAGTGCCAAGGATATGCTCTGTTTGTAATTTCATTAGGACAGGTATATAACAACCTGGAACTGGAAGAGATGGCTAGTATTCCCCTGGAACATCATTTGATTCAGCTGGGCAGAGTTCATAAGCCTGAACTTGAATACGTAGTGAGGTTTATGAAACCATTTGTGCATCTCCTCAGGCGTAAGTTATTATATTAATGCTGTTTCATTGTTCTTCAGTGAATGTCCAGCAACTCATGAAAGAGGTTAGGTTGATAACCTTGGACATTAGTCTTCCATAGATTCACAAATGTGTTTAGCATGGAGTTTTCAATGCAGGTTTCCCATTCCAAAGTCCCTTAGTTCTGTC